CGTATTGATCTGGGATGGACGTAATTGGCTTACACATGTATTCTTATACGGGGCGGAAAAGCTTTTTCAATTACGTCGCCGACGACGATTCGGCCGGGCCACTAAAATATTATGTCTTTGGCATAAAGTCTTTTGCGCTACCGGCCCAATTAATATAGCGTACCTACCCACCACAGTGTATTAAGCCGTCCAATGACGACTTGTACACGTCGGCCCTCGTTATTGATATTATGATCATCGCGATAAAATTATTAACCGATTAATATTAAACTCACAATATTGATAGCACAATAATATTATAATGGCAGCACAATGCGCTGCCAAAATATAATAATATAGCGCAACCGGGTTTGCGGTATAAGAACCACTCAATATTATATTATTCTCACACCGTATAATCTACCGTCGCTCTTTTGCTCATAGACTAGGCAGACGATGACACGTCGCACCTTTTTCCTACTGTAACGCGTTTAACGGTGTCGTTACTGTGTGGTTTTTTTTTTTTGCTCTGGTTCGTGTGACAGTAGTCGAGCGGGTAGAATTTAAGACAGTATCGGCTATGGTGGTATACGCATCGACGACAGTACTCTAAATCGTCGTGAAGAAGTAAATATGTTATATTTTGTACTACCTACTGCGACCTTAAAATAATTTAAAAATCGAACGATTTCAATCGACGTGTCTTTACAACAACTTTTCTTCATATTCGTGCTCGAATGCCTGGGGATCCTTGCCAACGTAAAATATGACCTTATATAATATCTCGGGGGAAAAGACGTTCCGATATATAAAAGCGACAGTGGTGAACCGAACTGACCCATATAAAACAGCTGTATTAATCCTGCAGGTTCCTTGATGACGAGGAGAGTGAATAGATGCAATGTTTTAGGTGCTTAATTTTAATTTTTTTTTTTCTTTTGTAGTACATTTATTTTGTCGAGGAATTTACAGCAACGCAATTACAAAATATTTTAGGTTCAAAACTAAATATTAATATCGCTACGTTGGCCGCCAAAAAATAGTTTTATCCATGGTACCTACATTGTTGATTTAATCCATGAGAGACCCAGTTTTATTATAATTATCATTGTTATACCTACCCAACTGACTGAATAACAAGTGAATCTACCTATCTATATAGTATATAGTTGACTTGACTGGCACACAAATCTTACAATAATACAGAATACCTAGGTATCGTATGATATGTATTATCATAATAAAATGATATATGCTTAGTACGACATTATTAAACGATGCAATTGGACACACCGCAAGCTCGTATAAGAGTATAGGACGATATAGTATTATTATTATGTTACGAAATAAATATTAAACAATTAAAAAAATTATATACTTTTAGACTGCTTAGCGCGAGTAATATTCATATGACTATATTATAATAATATTATGTGGTTTTGATTTAATCGAGTGACCTCCGTGGTCCAAATTGAATACGAGCACGGTGTATGTCATATTATATGAAATTTAACTCTATAACGAGGAAATGGCGTATTATAATAGTTTCTAATTTTTTTTTTATTTAAAAAAAATTACAATCTGTAATTAATTATATATATAGGTAATAAGTGAAATCGATAACTGTACATAAACATATACATAGCGTAAAGTAAGACACACGAAGCACATGACGGGTAAGTCATTTAGCAATGGAACCCTCTAAAGTTTATAGCTAAAATATAAAGAAAATATCGTACGAAATGAACCATTACCATTGAATTATGGTGAGTGAGTTGAGACTCCTCGACAGTTATGGCAGCCACGATCTCCAAAATCACGAACACTTAAATAGTGCATTATACCTTACCTAATACATAACGTTATACCAATAGTACATTATTAAAGCGACCTCGATTGCATATTATTATACTTACGAGATGGAGTACGTGACTTCGACATCGAGATATAAAACAGTGTTATAGTAATATTATTAATAATTATTATTATTATAAGGCCATCGGATATCGACAAGTTGTATTTTATATTATTGATCGTATATTTAAGTGGAAAATGAGCATTTAATCATTCATGCATGGGATGATAGGTTCACTCACATTTCTTATACGCTTCTTACAGTCTACAGACATATCTAGCAGAAAAATGAATATAATAAAACGTATTATCCGTATGCACTCAAAATATGGAAAACGCAGGAAGTTAGCGTTTACATACAATATTTTTTTTTTATTAAAATGAAATATATATTTTTTTTTATGAAATGTCTTACATTAATTATCAGTTGATTTATTTCGTTTGATAAAAACTAAATTAATATATAACAAATACTTTTAAAATATTACCTAATCGATATAATTCATATACAAACTGTCAAATGCATTAAAAAAAAAAATTGTAATGTTGTTTACTGATGTCCCAAATAATTATTTCGAATTTAATCATACTGTACCTAAGACTTTTGAACAATTTTCAACCCCAGCCATCACAAAAATTAACTATAAAGATGCATTCGGTACAGGGGGCCTATTCTCAAATCAATCGAAAAGGGTTTTCGATCAAAAATTGGTCGAAAGCGAATATATTTACGACCAATTCAAAAATCCGTATTCTCAAACAGTTTTCGATCGACGTTTCGACCGTTGTATTCGATTTCTCGTTTCGACTACTATTTACCAATCGTAAACTTGATTTCGACTGATAGTATACTTTTACACTAGCTACAGTGTTTAAGAAACGATTTATCTGTACAACGGTATTGACCGATTTGTTGTTTGTTTTTTTTCAAAGTACTTATAGGTACCTAGTGTGTAAAATTACACATTATTGATTATGGCTAATGACGATGTAGATTTTATTATAATGCAACATAATTTAATGCAAAATATGGTATTAAATAATCTACCATTGGATAATGAAGTTCGGCGTTTTATGATGCCAGAGGATACATTTAATGGTAAGTTAAATATGAAATCGAATTTAGTTTATTTCATGATTGATCAATACATTAAGTAATTACTAATTAATAAACTAAGTAAGTAGGTAGGTACTCCTTAAATATAGGTGGTACTTACAGATGTCCTATTAACACTTATCTTGTTTTCAAAATATTTCCATGCCCCTAATAATAAATGATAACTATTATTATTGTTTCAGTTTTATCTGAAAGACAGTTCATGGGAACATATCGACTAAGTAAAGTCCTTGTTGAAGAACTAATTCATACTTTAACCCCTTTTATGAAAATCCCCAACACATTAGCAGGAATAAGTATACAAAAAAAGGTCTTTACATATTAAGTTATTTAAGTATTTGCATTACCGACCTATTAGTCATTACCATATACAAATTATAATATTTAGGTACTTACGGCTTTACGATTTTATGCTAGTGGAAGTTATCAGCAAGACATCGGTGAACATAGAGGTTCAGCGCTTAGTCAAGCGTCTGTCAGTAGATGTCTTGGCGAAGTAACTGAAGCTTTAAATAATCCCCAAATTTTAAATAAATATATTCATTTTCCAAGCAATACAAATGAACTAAATGTGGTTCGTCGAGGGTGAGTTACTCAGAAAGGGTGATAATATTGACTTATAGGGATTAATTTTAGTAACTAAATTATTAGATTTTATGAGAAATTTTTTATTCCTGGAGTTATTGGAGCTATTGATGGGACACATATAGCAATCGTTCCTCCTAAATCTGGAGATGAAATTTATCCAGAACATATTTATGTTAACAGAAAAGGTTATCATAGTATTAATACCCAACTTGTAAGTTTTAAAATATAGTTACACCTATAATAAATAGATAGGTACATTTTAGAAAGAAATGTTTTATTATTTCATCTATTACTAGTATTATTTATTATAGATATATTATTATATATTATATTATATTATATATTATTATTATTATGCATACAATATCACTATGTATATAATATTATATATACCTATTTTTTACTCTTGCAGATATGTGATTCAAACTTAAAAATATTAAATGTGTGTTCAAGATTTCCAGGAAGTGTTCATGATAGTTACATCTGGCGTTTAAGTCCGATAAATGATTTATTAAAACATTGACATTCAGTAGGACTAACATCTTACTTTTTACTCGGTGATTCGGGGTATGGTTTAAAACCATGGTTAATGACTCCATTACTTGAACCACAGGCAAATAGTCCTGAAGCTCGGTATAATGAATGGTTTTGTAAAAGTAGATCAATTATTGAACGCTGCAATGGGGTTTTGAAAATGCGATTTAGGTGTCTTTTGAAACACAGAGTCCTTCACTACTCACCAGAAAAGGCTGGAAGCATTATAAATGCTTGTGTAATATTGCATAACATTTGTATTTCCAATAACTTGCCATTAGTCAATATTAACGAAACTGATGAAATTGATTTTGGGATGGATCATGATTTACCACCAAACAATATTGTTAACCCAATAAATGCAGAATTAACTGAAGGAAAACGGTACCAACAACAAATTATTAACAGATATTTTCAATAAAACAGCATTTTATTTTTCATTATATATGTAACATCTTAAAAGTAAATAAAACCATTCTTTATTATATAAAAAAATCAACTCTTTGTAACACTTAAGTCTTAAATATATCACATTTTCAATAACAACTTGTCTCTATTTAACATAATTAAAATAATTTATAATAATATATAATTTAAATTAATTAATTTATATATATATATATATATATATATATATATATATATATATATATATATATGTTTAAAAAATAATAATAGTAGTAATAATAATAATAGTATGGGTAACTTCAGTAGATATATTAAAGAGATATTTATGTATAGGAAGTAGGAACATAGTATTTTTAGAAGTATATTATGATTAGTAAGTCTTAAATATATCACATTTTCAATAACAACTTGTCTCAATTTAAAATAATTTAACAGAGTGTATATATATATATATATATATATATATGTTTAAATTATAATAATAGTATGGGTAACTTCAGTAGATATATTAAAGAGATATTTATGTATAGGAAGTAGGAACATAGTACTTCATACTATAGGAACAACATACTTCCCCTATAATGGCTAAAATTTGATTTTCTAAATCATCAAGTTCTTCACTTTCATTCATTCCTCCACCTGTTTTTCCACAATTTTTTTTGATTTCTGCACTTTTGGACTTGGTATTACTTTTTAAATCTATCCAGCACTAAATGTTACAATAAATATTAATTAAAGTTATAAGTTATAACAATTCATAAATATTGTAGGTAGGTACTTAGTATAAATAATATATGAAGCTGTTGGTATAAAAAAAGTTTTTAGTGATATATATTATAAAATAATAATTATTGTTAAAATGGTTAATACTCATAATATAGAAAATAAATATAAATAAAAAATGAATAAATGTGTTGCCTGGAGTATTATGATAAGTGTATTATGCGACCGGTTTCAAATTAAAAATTCATAATCAAGTATATCAAAGTTAAAACGAGACTCAAAGTTTTCTCAGAGTCAAATTTTTAGTATAATTAATTAATTAATGTATATATAATAAATAAGTTGTATATGTCACAACATATATATTATGTTTTGTACCTGCTATAAAATAAAAATCTGGTAACTATACGAGTATTTACTTACTTTTTTCCACTTTGATGGATCTTTCGTTGCGCCAACTATAGAGTTTAGCTCATTGCTTATTTGTGTCCATAAATCTTTGCTATGTTTAGAAGTAAACGATGGGCTAAACTTGCCCTTATGTAGTTCCGGATGTTCTTGTATGAACAAGACTAATGTTTGTTTTTGCTCAAATGTAACAGATTTCCCCTTAAATTTTTTTGGGGGATTCATAATTATTAATTAATACTAAAAAATAAAATAAATAATAAATACTATAGATTCACAGTATTTGGTGAAAACTTGTAGTATCAAAATATAGCCGATAAAATGTTTTATTTCATGGAATAAAAACTGTTTTTTGTGATAAGCGACTCGAAAATCGAAAAACCGATCGAACGTAATATTTACGATTTACAATATTCGATCACTGCCTGAGAATACACTCCATCGAAAACCAGCAATCGAATAGACTTTTTTGATCGAAAATCAAAGATCGAAAAAAGCTATTCGACTGATCTTTTCGATTGATTTGAGAATAGGCCCCCTGATCTACAACTTTTTATATTATTTTAATACAACGCAGGATACATATTATCATTATAATTATTATGAATAATATAACAACAAAAATTACTGTATTCAAAATTTTCAGTCATGAATAATATTATATAGGTACTACTGGTATTGAAATTAAATAATATTCATAAAAATTCGGAATTTGTACAGTGACTAATTAAAGTATTTTATGTATAATATACCTAAGCAATCACTATTATTAATATCATTTTTTTTACTACATAATTTCTATGATCGTCACATAAATATAGGTCGATTAAAATGTACTCTGAAGACTTTATATTATATAATGTTATTATTATTATAAGCGAGAGTGAACTGCCGAAATTATAGTAAAGTTTAAGTGGTTTGCAAGTAATTTTGTCAGTATATTATAATATTGTTATTATTTTATACTAAAGAGCTTTAGAACAATTGTTTTATGAGAAATTACAAGTTTTCGGTTAACTCCATTCGGGTGTCCATCGTCTGAATTTTAGCCAAAGATGGGAAACCAGAAAATCTGCTGACTCACAAGGGGAATGTGATTGTATCCATTAAATATTTTCTAAAAAAAAAAAAAAATTAATTTAAAAATTAAAAATAAACCCCAAATTAATTTCGGCTTATTCTAAAATGGTTGAGATTTTTTTAAGAAATTAAACAATTGTGGGCTATATATTTATTTGATTTCTAGTGATGTGTTTGAATCTAAATTGCAACTTTATAATACAATCCTAGTTAAATTTTAAATCTATACATATTATATGAGGTTTTTGAGGTTTTACTACCCCGTATAATGTGAAATGTGGATCGTTTTTCACAAGTGAACACCCCATCCTCACCAAAGTTATGATTATATGTACTGACCGGTTCTGGATAATATTGATCGTATCGAATCTACATATATATATATAATATGTACTTAGGTACGCATATTATATAGATCAGTGGTTCTTAAACTTTTAGTGTACAGACCCCCGATGAAAGACTTTTAGTAATCACGGACCTCCTTCCAATTTTCTTTCGAATACCTAGTACAGATTACCCATCTTTATTTTTACAAAATATCTTATGTTGTCATAACCAATATTTTAATACTCATTTTATATTACAAATCACATATTTAAATAAGTAGGTATATAAATTTATAATTATTTTTCTATTCTTAATTTTGTGAACATTTTTGATATTTTATTTGTATGTAGAGTGAACCCCCGATCTGATCGTCGTGGACCTCCAGGGGGCCACTGCAGGCCACTGTTTATAAACCACTCATACAGATAAAATCATAATATTTTCTTTGATTTTGCTCGAGTTTCATTAAAACAATTCTATTTCTACGTTATACTTCAAAACGATTATTGCACAGCACGATTATAGATTATAAACATATTATATTTGATCATGACGTAAATTATTAATTATTTGTATCTCAAATACTTCGAAGAGCACATTATCGTCGTTCCGGCAAATGCATACGGATCAGTAGATTCTATCATACAATAACAGTACATATAGGTACCTATTTTAACCGATGTTTGGTTGTTATTATTTTGCAATTTGATATATAATTGCGTTTAAAACGAGAGAGTATTATTATTTTAATAGTATGGTATTACACCTGTCGGCTATTGTAGTTCCATTAATGACGTTGTTGGACAGGTACGACGAGAAGTGTATTAAACGATAAGCAATGATAATTATATACGATGAATGTCTATATTATATAAGTATTATGTGCTGCTGTAATAAACTTAGATCGAGAAGAGATTAAACATCGAACAATCATGTTAATGTGAATGTGAATTATCATCGAAATAGAAACAACAGATGGGTATTTGTGGATTCTTATTCCCCTCGACTTGACGAGGTTTGAGCGGTAACGTCGTCTGTATATGTTACCGCGGTTATAAATTCACTTAAATACTGCAATGTATAAGGTAAAGTATACCTACCGACTACACGCATAAACATTCAAAGTTCAAACCAAAAACACTCGACGTTGTGAAATTGTATGTTTCATACTTCCATCTGACGGTCGGACACTGCGCCGTATCACACGATAAGCATTGATAAATTGGGCGTATGATATATAACTATATAAGTATTATGATGTGCTGGGGTATTAAACTTCAATCGAGTGGAGATAAAATATAATATATCGAATGGGCGTGTTTCTGAAAAACTTATTATTATTATACGAACAGTGCTGCGCGTTATGTTAGAATTAGGTGCAACCACGTTGTTGGAGTGCGTCATAATATTATATATCATCGAAATAGAAACAACAGATGAGTAGCGGTATGGGTTCGAAGCCCCCTTGACTAGACGAGCAGGTCAACACGGTTACGTTCGTCGGAATATTACCGTGGTTATTAGTTCGAGTATAATATACAAAGTACCTACAGACTACACGCATAAATATGCAAACCAAAAACACACGACGATATATATATCGTATAGGGTCAGACGTTACGATAACTATCTCGGCTGCGGCTGTGGAATGTACGACGGTTTTAAGAGAATAGCCCTGCAGGTATATTACCGCCACTACATTCATAATATATAAATTCATATCCAGCTCACTGATTTGTGGGTACGACGTACACAACCCCCTTCCCCACCATCCACCCAAAACTCTTCGATATTGCCGGAGAAATATTAATTGAAGTCGGTCAAGATTTCCGCGATGATTCGATTGCGTCTCGTGGACGGGAAAACTATTCGAAATTAAACGGGCGCCGATTGATTTCAACCGAAAGCGTCGATTATTGTTTGGTCAGGATCGGCTGCTGTAGACAATACCTAATTGTTATATTATTATTATAGCTGTGCTGTGTTGTCGGCGGTTTGCCGATAGACGTAGGAGACTCGTCCAATATATAGCTGTATTGTACTTTTAGTTTGTACGTGACATATAATACGTCCCCCAAATGTATAAAAGTGATATTATAGTCACCTGCTATATAGTATTATTATTTACCGTCGAAAACGACTCGAGGATATAATACGATATATTAATCGTTGTTAGTTTATTACGATTGTCGTACAGTCGTACTACACACCGTGTTCACGTCCTGCATTGCGACTTCATTTCAATTCAGCTGTTTTCCTATAATAGTTTGGTCAGACCACATAATATTATCGCCATTGTATCGGTGCTCTACTCACCAGGTTTGGACATTTTGACATTCCATCATCATCAAATTTCAGTGAATTTTTATTTATTTAGAGAGCGTACTTATTCGTATTGAGCGGCAACTGTACATAATAACTATTGTCAGATTATAGCTACGATACGTTTTCACCTGTGCGTGGTTTACTGATAGACAGAGGAGACTCTTTGGATGTAGCTAATTACGCGATATTGAAGTTTTAGTCTGTACGTGACATATTAATGTATTTCCCAAATTTATAAAAGACGTGATGATATAATATGTCACATATTATTTACCGTCGAAAAACGACTTGAGAATATAATACAAATACAACATTCATTATTAGTTTATTACGTTAGTCGTACACACTGTGTTCATCTGCAGCATTACGACTGAATTCCAACTCAAAAAATATCCTCTGTTATCGTCCTGCTCAACAATTATAGTTGACGTATCTAGAACAAAGGCCAAATAATATTATCACCTTCATATCGGTGCTCTTCTCACCAGGTTTTTACATTTCTTCATAATCATCTGCAGGTGTTGGTTAATTAATTTTGTATTTATTTAATGCGAGTAAGTATCGATGCATTAATCAATAATATAATGTAGTATTGTATTAAAAAAAAGGGTCAATAGGGTAAATAGGGTCAAAATATTGTCATTAAGAAACGATATTAAAATATGATAGAAATATGGTAAAATAATATGCAAAATCATTATCTACGACACGCGACGTTCATATAATATTCTGCCTGCTGTAGATTTTTAAATATAGGTATTATATTATTCAGCCGAATGTTAATAATTATCGTTCCACATCACAATGGGGTAACATATAAAAGTCTTAATGACAAAGATCGATGGGAAAAGAAAAAAATTAAAGACTTAACAAAATATAGGTACCTATACTATTCATTTTCTGTAGTAATAATTATATTCTATAGGTACTATATATAACGGTGCAGCAGTAAAAGAGACTTTCCTCTCATCGGCACTTATTTTAGTGCTATTATAGACTTATTTTCAACAAACGCAGCGATCATTAACACACTTATACATATAACTATATTTATACTACTTGTAATATGTGCATATATATAATACTACTTACACAGAAATACAGAATGCAAGATCCGATTTTCTCCATTACAGTTGAAATAAAATTTAATAATAATATTATACAGTCTTATAATATTATGAGCACTATGGCCTCCAATTTAATATTAATAAATGCAAATCTATGTCCTTCAGCAGGTGCCGGGTGGCAATCGATTATTTATACACTATCAATTTGTCAGTGATTGATAGAGTTACAAGCAATAACGACTTGGGCGTTCTTTTCACTGCTGATCTTAACTTCCACCTTCACATTTACTCCATCTGCTGCCGAGCTCTCAAGTCACTTTTCTTCATAATGCACACCATGAAAGATTTCAAACTGTCTAGATCTCTCAACACTGTCTATTGCTCTTTAGTCCGAAGCTTACTAGAGTATGCGTCTGTGCTCTGGGACCCACTTGTGGTCATTGATTCTTGCCACTTAGAACGAGTTCAAAGGCGCTTTTTTTCGTCCGCACCTTACATGCTAAAAATTGTCCATCCTCCTCATGACTATACTCCAGTATTGCACGCACTTAACCTTACATCCTTAGCAGACAGACGCGTTAAACCTAACCTAGGCTTTTTGGGAAAGTTAATCGATGGTTCTATAAATGCTCCTTCACTACTAGCGCAAGTAAACTTTAAAGTTCCGCATCATGCCACAAGGTCTCGAGTTCCTTTTACTGTACCTTCAAATTGCACCAATTGCGGTAGAAACAAACCAATTGACCGCATGATGGGTTTGGGTAATGAGGACCCCACCTTTCTTAGTTCACCTTAATATTGTTTTATTGATCTTGTAGTATCTTTTTTATTATTTTGTTATATCATGTATGTAATTTTAGTTGTGTCCTAATTATTATAATTTATATTTATTGAACCTGTAATTTTGCAGTATTTTTGGGCCATCGCCCCTTGTATATGTTAATTATGTAAAACTACTGTATTATTGTTGTGTGCTGTACCAAATAAAGAATTTTTATTCCGTAAATTAATAAAAAAATAACAAATAAACAAAATTCGCAATAATTATTGTGTGCGAGACTAGACGACTCTGCTTTCGAATAACCATTCAAATTCACGTCACGTCACAAACCTGACTAATTTCGTATACAATAATAATAATTATGACTGATAATTTAACGCGATACTGCATTTTATTTCCATGTGCATCGTTATAAAACAAATAATTTTCTTAGTACACACTTTCAGTAATCACGTACAAAACCATTTATTTATGTGTCAAGTATATTATATAATATTGTGCCAACTAAATATAACGGTTTAGTTTTTGAATATTCAGGTCGTTAGTCTGCCGTATTATTTAAAATTCTCTACAAAAATAATAACTATAATGACGCGAAAGTAATATAAAATTCTAATAGTTTATTTTATAAGTCGATTATAACAATGTACTTATACAATATTATTCTAGACAGACGACTAAATTATAATTTTTGTTATGCCGGGTCACTGCAGACCGAACAATAGAAGAACTAGTTTAAATCTCAATGAATGCTAATGCCATTTCAACCAATTTCAGTTTTGACTTACTCATATACCTAATATGAGTAAGTATGCAAAAAATAAATGTAATAATAATATAACACCATATGATTATGTACTTTTTCATAAAACTACAATAAATTATTATGCTTACAATAATTAGGTACTCATATTTATCGTTATCGTATTTAAAAATTATTATATAAAACTATATGTTGAAATCGAATCGCTCCTTCTGATAGAAATTTTGTGTACAGGATAAAAAAAAAAATAAAAAAATTAACACCATTGTAAACCCACCAGACCCCTCGCTCCACTCAAAATCTAAAAATCCAGACTGACAAACCGTCTCCGCTCAGAATCGTATTTCTTATACAATGATATTATATCATTGAATTCCAGTTTAATACAATCCATTATACATTGACATTGACCCACTTGTAACCAACTGTACAGCAGAGCGACATCCACTTACCTGCTTTTTTTATTCAATATACTTACAAGTAAGTATATACCTAACTCGTCAAAATATCAATAAATCATCGAATAAATAATTTTCGATCGTTTACTTTCTTAACACCCGACGACTACAACTACCATAGTCAACCACTGACTTCTTCAGATCATTATTTTATGACTAGCCAAATGGACGTGGGGTGCGACTGTCGTCCGCAGCGTGCTTTTTATACCAATCATTAGCGCACCACGGGCATTCGTATGAACTGAAAACAGTGGTGACAAACCACAGAACGGTCGGCACTCCATATTATTATTTTACGGACAAAGTATGAAATCGGGTACTGCACTCAGTGTCCGGCAAATTGTGCCCAAAACTATGTCGGTGAGCGCACTTTGTAGCTTAGTTTAAATTTTAAGTTTCTATTATAATATCACCGGGCAAGTGAAACGTGATTGTTTCGGGGAACAGATAATAGAATTTTATGCGTGTCTCAGTAAAACTAGAAAAATATAGCTGAAAAAGCTATGAACATTTGGTTTTTGTTGTTGTATATTAACGTCTATCATAAATCAATGTAATAATGAACATATTATTATGCATATAATATTTATCTAAAAATGTTTATTTTGTTTTTTAATAGGTCAATTTTCATAAATATTTTATGCTTTTAGTCATCACACATCGTATAATTCGGTTTTTTTAAACTATTCTTATAACTAATTACAAAAGCGGGTTTTCTGCAGAAGACGTATTTTATCCGATTTTGCTTTCTTGATTTTTCATCAAGTAAGTATGGTTATTGAAATGAAAAAAGTCTGAATTTTGAAGACTTCAAAAATTCATGTTAAATATTAAAATAATAAAAATGTAACTCAGTAATGATGAGTAGGTGGGTAATTTAACTAGCTTTAATATAAAATATTAATGAGAGAGATTTGATATCACACCTAAGCGGTATAACCACTTGAATCCATAAAAAGGTCGGAGTGAACAGTCCCAAAATTTCTATTTTTTAACCTTTCTCCTAAACTATGATATCTATAAAGTTGGTTGATAACTCATTAAAAAAGGATTATCAAGTAGATACTAAATGTGGAATTAAATTTTTTTTTTTTTAAATGATTTAATTTTTCACATATAAAAAAAGAGTTATTTTTCGCTAGATTTTTATTTAACGAGGTAGATTTCCGAAACTAGAGAACGGATTTTGTTGTTTGGGGAGTTGTTAGAATCACATATGCTAGGAAAAGTGCAGTAAAGATTTTCAGAACTTTATCTCCAATCGTTAATTCACTACAAAGCTGTAAAGCTGAAAAACGTCAAAAAACGACCAATAAAATTTAATTTAAATTTTTTTAATGTTCTATAGTGAATTAACTAATAACTATTAAAAATTAAGTTCTGAAAATCTTCTCCTTACTTCTCCTTACGAATGTGAATCCAATAAGACCCATAACAACAAAATCCGCTCTCCGGTTTCGGGGATCTATCTCACTAAATTAAAATGAAAATGATTTTTTGATTGGCTGTTCACACCAACATTTTTTTGTATTTAAATTGTTATACAGCTTGGGTGTGATATCAGTTAATACATTTCTAAAAACTAAAAATCAAGAAAGTTTACATTCCGATCCGTGGCTTGGCAAGCGTTTTTTTTCCAGTATTTTTCCCAGTACCGATCGGTTTACAAAACTATAACGGTGCAAGTATTTTCTGTGTTCCTATTTGTTGCTTAGACATTTATACATAATTCGATTGAAGTTAGATCTATATCACCCCCTCCGTTACATAGCTGTTTACTAGTCATGAAGTCGTCTTACAACCTCGACTGAAGTGCACTAATTGTATTTATATCATGTCAATAAATATTGGTGTTATAAATCCAAAATCAAAAGGATAAGCATATTATTATTAAGCCATAATATATCCATATTATATTACATTAATTATAATATACCGAACACTCTCGGTCACTGCAATTTTTTCTGCTATTCGGAGGGTTAAGTTTGTAATTTTTCAAAAAATTAACGTTTGCTATTTGGATGTATAATCATTAATCATGTTTAGATGTGTCCGTTAAGGGAGGTTTCACTGAAATATGTTTTTCCTTCATTATTATTGCATGACAAAATCTAATATCATAATATATTATTATAACGTGTGTTAGGTATTTGATCATAACTAATTGAACGCAATTAAGTGAGTTGGTATTACAATGAAGACGCGTAGATATAGTGGAAAATGTCGTATTTGGCTTGTGTGTATAAGTAATCTTTTCTGAGACCCTTTACATCCACATTCACTAAACTGAATACACGGAATGTGTGTATTAAACATGATACCTGATAAAAGTCGCCATTCCAAATCATGACCATAGATAAAATATAAAACAACTAGATAGCCGACTCGTGATAAAGTCTCATAAGACCTATGAGTGGAAATCCCGACTACTCAAAAACACCTCTCCGGTGGATGACCTCATCTAACCAACCCGAGATGGGTAATGACTAACTAATAACGACGTGCAGCTATAGCTGGAGCAGTATCTATAGCGATTATCGCATATACAATATTATACAGTTTGAATTTTAAATGTGACTTTTTAAAATTTTAAAATTAAAGTAGGGATTTTAAAAATGCTGTTGCTTAACTAAATTTCTGTTTGTTTTATTTTATGACTCTTATTTTAGTTTTAACTACAGATGTGTAAGTTTTATTTAGACATTCGCTACCCAGAAAAAAAATAAAATTACTTTTGTTTGACATTGGCCAAAAACTAAAATTTAAAATAAACAATTATTAGTAATTAAACAACTTAATTTTTTTATTAGTACTTAATAACATTATTCAATTGCACATACATATTATAATGTTAGTAACTTATGTTATATTTATAAACCTTCTTAATTGATTTCGAAAATATGTCGACATGTTCCCATAATATTAAGTGTTGTACTCCTATCGATTATTGTCAAATTGGCCAATTTCAAATATAATTTTGTCATAATGCATAATATTGACCTTTTTAACACAAGTAACATAATCAAGTTGTAATTTAATTCGGTCTAATAATCTCAAATTCGTCCAAATGTGACATTCATCCGAAACTCGACACTATCGTGGTTGACACCCTTAATCTCATCTGCATATCAATTGAGAAAAAATTGATCGAATTCAACAGACGGTTTTCGGCATTTTGTAATATCAGATATGTGACTTTTATTATATAGTAAATATGTATAGTTAAAAGGACCACTGCCTTGAGCAAGTCATGATGGTTATTTCATATATTATTATATTACCGGATATGTTAGTATAATTATTATTTAATCGAATGACTGTGGGATTAATGTCGTTGTGGCGATCTGTATTAATATAATATTACAATAATATACACAACACATGCGTATATAATATATATTGTATTAAAATATAGATTGTTTATAAGTTACCGACTCCCTGAGGGCGATAAATAAAATATTTTAACTATTACGTGGGAAATAACAAACCTATATTATAGGTACTATATATTGCTAATATCATCAATAAATCTCTGCTTGGAACGAAATTACCAATTATACACTACTGATTTTATCGAAATTATTAGCACGTGTGCTCGTCCATTCGTCCATAATAATATGTTTATTCGATTTGTATAATTTAAAATCATATTGTTTAATATGGTAGTCGGGTATTGTCTTAAACGGTTTGAAACAATTCTACTGTTCATGCTGTTTTTCGTCGATGTCCATTGTCCATATATATTGTTGTACTTCCATATTATACGTCTGTTGTTTTAATTTGAATTTATATTT